AAGTAATACATGTCCTCTGAGACATAGGCCACTTGCACTGAATGAAAACAATTACGCCATGTTTTACACCTCTTTTCACTTACCTTTCGAAGGAATCGCACCACTGGAGTTGAAGCTTTGCCGAAACCAAACATTTCATATGGATGGATCTCGTCTCACCTCACAGAGAGGAGGCACCTCCGAAAAAATCAGCCAAAACGGGAGGCCCAGAAAATCCACTCGAACCTATCCAACAAATAACAATCCATGCCAGTCTTAACCCTGCAAATGTCTCGGCAGGAATACTTATAGCAATAATCCTTATGAAGTTCGTCAGAAAATGAAGGTTAGGTTCACGAGGAATCTCGACAAAACATTCACCAACGACCAACGATGACAACAATGTAAATATTTAACCTACCTTTTCTTTGAGACTGGTGCCACCCTCTAGCGATTGTCGCCTTGCCCTTGGACTTCCTTACTTTATTTCTCTCTCACTCATTCGTTGCTTTTCTTCCTCCCGCAGCCTGTTCGAGACCCACCCGGACGTGCAGGAGGTGTTCATGCCGTTCAACGGCATCGAGCTCGAGGACCTGAAGCACAGCAAGCAGCTGCGCGCGCATGCCTTGAGGTAGGTCATCTACATACTTGCAGACCGTGACCCGTTTCGACCCCGCCCCGCACCCGGCCGACACCCTTCACGTTCGCACTGTTGACCGCAGGGTGATGGCCTTCGTGCAGAAGGCCGTGGCGCGCCTCAACGAGCCCGAGAAGCTGCAGACCCTGGTGCGCGACCTGGGCCGCAAGCACGTGGGCTACGGCGCCAAGAGGAGATACGTGGACGTGAGTACCCCGCCCGGTTGGACGCCCGCATCCGCGTCCGCCTACGCGCGGAGTAGCGGCGTCGCGCGCGTCCCTACTCCACACGGCCGCCTCATGCACATCGCTCCTGTTGCAGCTCATCGGGCCGCAGTTCATCCAGGCCATCCGGCCCTCTCTCGAGTCTCAGTGGAGCGACGAGATGCACGAGGCGTGGTCGCGCCTCTTCCAGCACCTGTCCTTCGTCATGAAGGGCTCCATGCTGGAGGAAGAGCGCCGCGTCAAGACGGCCGCCAAGGGCCGCTAAGAGGGTGTAGTAGGACGCCGTCAGGGGACGCCGTCAGGGGACGCCGTCAGGGGACGCCGTCAGGGGAGACGCCGTCAGGGGACGCCGTCAGGGGAGACGCCGTCAGGGGACGCCGTCAGGGGACGCCGTCAGAGTGCTGCGGGCAGGCGACCGGCCGCTCAGCGGGAAGGCGATGACAGCAGCTCGGGGACACTCGGAAAACGAAAGTCATGTTGTTGTAAATAACTTCGGTTGTCGTAATACTACGACGAATATTACAAATGTTATACGCGAAGATATTGCATAACCTTACTACTAGAAATTAGCGGTTCGTTTTAAATTGCTGATCTAACAAAGAAATTTATCTATACCCGTTATTATTCAAGTAGCAAGTAGTGGTCTTGATTCTTATTAATAGTTTATGGTAACTTTAAGAAAAAACATTACTATTGATACTGTAAGGAAAATTTATTAACAAACTTCTACTGCTTTATTTATCGCCACTATGTTCGTTTAAGTCTTGCATAGTACTCAGCTCTTTTAAGTGTTTTTTTGGCTGTTCAGCGTGTTGAACCAAACGGACCTAGTGGGCTCCATGAACGCTTTCGAAAGCCCACCTGTGTGCGAGTGGACACCGGGCAAATCCACTCTCATCAGGTGTATCATGGGGTTTCACATATTAGCTGTTAAGTGTTTAAACTTCAAGTTATAAAGAAACTCTAACAAGTTAGGAATTGTGTGGTAGAGTAAATCCTTAAATAATATGTAATTACAAAGAGGAAATCTGTTGAAGAAATGTGAGTAAATTTTGTATCCTCGACCTAATTGAAAACTTAATCATCCTTGCAAAAATGTCTTTGCGCTATGTAGAATTACGTACTCTGTGTGAATAAAGGAAGTAACTGTTACGTTTTGTACCTGGACGTTCTAAGAAACTCCCTTCCCGTCCCAACTGCCGCTAACTGCAGCCAAGACTCGGTACTTGGACGGCTTCCCTCGGAAGTTCAAATATTTTAAAGACCGCCCCCCTCGGCACTGACTGACTGGATTACTTTCAGTTGCGCCGCAGACCAGGGGTAATGAAGGGAACACGCACGCAGACACGCACAAGCACAACAACTTGCCACCACTGGAAGTCGGAAAGAGGGGGCGGGGGGCAGTGATGGCAGCAGTGATCACCGACAGACCGGCAACGAACGGCGTATTGTGAGTCACTTAAGTCGTGTGTGAGAGAACTCTTAGGGCCCCTTTGAAGGGGGCAGGGGGAAGTCCCCCCCCTCCCCCGTCCCTCGCCGGATTGCTCAGGGGGCAGCCGCCTCACAGGGCGGCCGAGGCGAGGCGGCGGCGGGCGCGACAGCTATGCGGGTGGGTCGGTGCGCAGCGCAGCGCAGCGGGCCGAGGTGCCGCGGGGGCAGGAGAGGAGGGGGGGAGGAAGGGGGGAGGTCTTCGCGGAGACAGATCCATGGCAACCACCGTAATGCGGGCGTCATGGACTGCATCGCACCGCAAGGACACGG